TAATTACTAAGTTGAACAAGTTAATCTAGATCAAAATCAAATAGTTTGGGTCAGTAATCCCTATATTTCTAGGTTCGATATATAAGTTCATCAACATACACAAAGCAATGAACATAAGGTTTAATTTAATAACAAGTACTGATTAATCAAAGTAAGCAAATAATACAAAAATCACACATATGATCCAACAGGTTCATACATGTTCATCTAACAACCCCTAATCAAAGGAAGTTAGCTACTCATATTGAAATAAGTCATAAAAATAAAATTATGTAAACAATACATTAAAACCTTCTTTCTGGAGCTCCACTTTGGTCCCTGTTATTAAAATTCTCGTGTCAAGAAACAAGGTCCCTCTAAAAATCTAACTTTTGCCCTTTTATAGAAGTCAAAACATGTTTAAATATGAGTCATATCGAACCACAACACATTTAGATTGTGCCACGATGTCCTGTGTAGCAGCTGGATCACGTCGCGACCACTTTACATCGTTGTGCGATCTGTCCCTTTTCTAGCATTTTGTGCCATGCTATGGGCATGATTTTTCCAGGGATGCATAGTTCCATTTCTTCATAATTTCTTGGTTTTTCCTATGTTTCTCACACTTCTTTTTATTTCTTCATTTTCTTTACCAAACTAATGCATATTAATCTAAAACACGACTAAAACAATTGCAAATGCTTATTAAAGTTACATATGACAGGGTGTCATTAATGGGTTGATCAAGAGATGTTGGACATCGCCTATTGATCCACTTTTGAGGTTTGTTTCTCATCCAGTTACCAATACAACATCATTAAGATTTAACAATATATGAGAATGTTAAACCTAAATTCGTGTCTGATGTTTATCATCTAACATATGGAAATCCTTGATCTAGTTAAGAAAAGTATCTTTCAATATCATTTCAAAACCATTATAACAAGTTATAAGTAGCTAATTCATAACAAGTATTAAGAATGAAGATAATCATCAATATTAGCGAGTAACAAGAACATGCATAATGCCATGATAAATATGAATACATGAGTGTTCGAATAACTACATCTAACTCCAACAAAAGAGAATTTACTTATGCTTAATTATGGTAGTTTTATAATGACGATTAAGAGGAAGAAAATGAAAAGGCATCCATAATAATTTCTCGATTGACAAAGCCTCCACCTGGATTCTTTGATATCTCTCTTGAGAATTTCCCCTCCAAATTCTGTCTTGTGGTATAGAATTCTTAACTACTAAAATATGGACTATATAACTAATAAAATATGGAATTGACATGTAATGAACTAACTCAGAACTCTATTTATAGAGTTTTGTTCTGGTATCCTCATTTGGTGAGGTATTTTACTTACCTAACGAGTTCTAGTTTGCTTCTTTATTAAGTCAGGTCCAACTTATCAACTTGTCCCACTTAGGCTTGGGTGTTATATTGCTTTTGGCAATATTTCTTGCCTCACAATGTTAGAAAACCCTTCATTCACCCCTAAGTTACTTAACCATAAGGTCTTCTGAACCATTTTTGCTTGTTTAGTTAGCTTGTCACCTCGTATGGCAAGATGTCTTGCTTCAGTCTTAAGTAATTTGGCCTGGACGAAACCTCCATCTGCATATCCTCTCCTGGTAAGTTTATCTTCTTTGCTTTGAGAGATGAAGTTAGTAAGGTGCCTTGTTTTTCTATGTCTTTGATCTGTCTCTGAATGGGCGAGCTTTTGACCTTGTCTAGCGAGTTTTCTGATACCTGCTTATGTAACTTGCAGACTCTTTGTGTGTTTTCACATGTACTCATGAATTTCACAATTAAAATGTTCACACATGTGTTTTATCTTGTTTTTTGGGTCATGTAGTTTCTTGACTTTTAAGTAAATAAGTGTTTATGATAAATAGGTAAATTTGACACTTAAAAACGTCTTCAATTGACGTCATATGATGACATCATTATTTAGGGATTCTTTAATTAGATGGCTTTTCTCTTCCATAGGCTTGAAGTTTCTAGTGAACTCTTTTTTTAGAGTCGGATCATGGCTTATTTGGACTTAGTGTTCAGGCCGAAACATATTATACACTTATGTCTTTCACAACTTGAACCTTGAAAAAAGTTCATATTTCCTCTTCAAAAAACATATCCAAACCATGAGAGAAAAATGATCAATGTAAATAAAAAATACCTAAAACCACCCGTAAAGGTTTCTTTGGTAGGCCTTCACACATTAGAATACACATATTCTAGGATTCCCTGTGTTTTTGTTTCTTAATTTTAAACCAAACACAAAAGTGATTCCCAAATAAATAATATTTGCACAAACTCATCTTGTAATCGAAAATGCTTTTCAATATACTCCTCTTATGAGGTTCCATCATCCCATACTCCTTGAAATGGACCAAAAACTTATGTTATAGTTTGGTTGCATTGTTATCATACTAAATTGACGCTACATCACCTACTACAATACTCTTCTACAAATTTTAGATGTTACCTGCATCACTATCTTCTCTTATCATTGTCAAGGTACCATCGTCGACCTTCTTCATGTCCCTATCTCCATTATATGTGTAAGGGAAACCATTTTCCTGTAGTACCTAGTGAAATAAAACTCTTTCTCAATTGTGAAATTCTAATTTGTCAAATTCTAGTGATAACACATGCTTTATCATCACCTAAATAAACAAATCCAAAACTTTCTGACCATATGTGGTGAACCATTCTAGGTGCGATGTCATGTAGTAAGAAGTTTTGTGTTCTTTGATTTAGACCTCTTCTTTTCAGAAATTATTTTACCTTTGTTCCATCCACTATCTTGGCCCTATTCACGTATAAAACTTTATTCCACTCACGATTTTCCCCCATTCACAAGTAGACCTTCACCTTGAATTTCTTTCTCTATATTTCGTCTCCTTTGAGAATGAGATAAAAGTGTATCAATAATTATAATAATTTGTTCAGGGTTCTAAAAGGATTTGATGCCACTTCAAATTTCACGCAAAAGTTAATAAGGGAAGCATCAGAAGCAACAATGATCCAAACGTCCAGGCCTTTAAGAGACTTTGATACTACATATCTATCCAAAATTTTAAACCTTTATTTGAGAGTTTAGAAGGAAAATAAGGGGATGACTTTGAAAAAGAAAAGGATGAAGTGAAAATAATTAAAGGAATTATGTGGAGAGAATTTTGGAAGGCTTAATTTTATTCATAATACAAAAAACTCCATAGTTTGACGAACTTAAAAATTATATTGAAATAAGGCTTTAGAAGGATGGGATAAATTCTTCAATTATAATCTATATTGTTATAATATTTAAAAATAAAAATAAAAATACATTAATAACAAACATTCATTTATCATTTTATACAAAATTATTTTTTCAATTTTTTTTCAAACCTCCTTTCCCAAGCCCTCCATTCACACCTCTTCCTAACTCACAAGTAAAGCATAAAATATTAAATATACGAGTTATCTCTCTTATGTATCTAATACTTTTTCTATTTCTAATTTATATGAGACTTAACCACTCACTTAATTTTTTTAATAGTAAAGAATGAATAATATATATTAATATAAAAGAAAAACAAAAGATACGAGTGAACCAAAGAGCATCATAAGTGTGTAAGAACAAAAATTCCAACAATGTTTAGACCAAACAAAAAACAAAAGAGCAAAACAACAAATTAAAACAACCAAAAAAGAAAAACAAGTCAATCAATCCAACAAACCGATTTATCCTAAAGTTTAGAAGCAACAAACCTCTAGAGAGAGTATGCTGAAGGGAGAAAGACACAACCAGCTATACAAAACAAAAGGAGGACAATTGGCCATCCAACACACATATGTTCAACTACTTGAGTGAGTCTCACTCAAGTTTAATAGAGAAAATTTAAAATCCAAAACATGAATATGAACTCACTTCCATACCAAACTGATGAAGACATCTAATGATTAATCGGCAAGCTTTCTCGACAAAAAATAAATTTATTTTGCATTTTTCAAAAGGTCCGAACCACATAATGTTAGGTCAAGACCAAAGTTAAAAAGAAATGTTTGCTTTGATCCAAACCCAAAAACAATCCGAACAACCTTAAAATCGAATACTGCAAAAGTCCATGCCATCCCATCCCACTTAAACACTCTATACCAGAAGCTGCAACAATCTTAGTTGAGATAAAAGATAGCCCTTACCACTCATATTTGAATTCATTAAAATATGCGCCGTCCATTTGTACTACACGTGGTAGGGGCAAATTATACAGAATTATAGTTTCGGTATAATGAGGTAATGATGAATGAAAATTTAAATTTAGCAATTGATGAATACTACCGAAATCTTTGCATTATATTTTCTGTGTTGTTTAATATGTCATGGAAGTAGCATTTAGAAGACAATCAAACAATATCTGTTCCAATAATCTAAACACTTTACACACCTCTCAGTAAACTCTAGATTACTAGCAAAGCTTCTCCCATAAGTCATAACAATAAAGTAAATAAAAAGGACATATTACATTCCCAAACCGACATTACCTTGACATGAATCTTTGTTCCTACTTTATCCTAGAACGGAATCTTGTTCCAACTTAGATTCCCATAAAATTAATGTCGTCCCATTCAGCATGGTTCATATTGTTGAGGATGTTTCCCTAAATATAGTAAATTACCAACCATCCTTTCACAACTAGGTTCATTTCTTCTGCTTTGTTCGTCAGCATATAGCACTATACTTGATCCATGTTTTTATAAAATAAAAAGATTCTTTCTTTCAATCTTGCTCCAAACACAAACACTTTTCCAACCTCAGACTGTACGTGTCTGTGACAGTTATATGCATGTATGCATGTGCGATAATTAAAGTAGAAGTATCTTCCGTCCCTACAAAAACTTCACATGGCTCCCATCACAGAATGTTTATATATATTCTCTTCTTTCTTCATATATCATATATCCTACCTCTTTTCATAGCTAAGAATATTGTACATGGTATCTTGTTACTATTTGCCTCTTTTATGAAATGGAAACTTTAACTCATTTTGCTACTACTCTTCTCTTTATGTTTCTCTTTCATTCCATAAGAGGTTTAAATTCAACCACATTTACTATTGTAAACAAGTGTAGCTATCCCGTTTGGCCGGGAGTTTTGTCCGGTTCAGGGACGGCACAGTTAGTATCGACTGGTTTCGTCCTACAAGCGGGCGAAACCAATGTTATAGCTGTGCCTACGGCTTGGTCAGGCCGCATATGGGGACGAACATTATGCTCAACAGACTCCGCTGGCATATTCTCGTGCGCAACCGGAGATTGTGGTTCCTCCAAAGTAGAATGCACCGGCAGTGGCGCAGTTCCACCGGCGACACTTGCGGAGTTCACGTTAAACGGTGCAGGAGGGATGGATTTCTACGACGTCAGTCTTGTAGACGGTTACAACCTTCCCATGACTATTGAACCGCGTGGCGGCGGCGGTAACTGCACGACGACGGGTTGTACGGTGGACTTGAACGAAGCGTGTCCGACGGAGCTGAAAGTGAGAGTTTCAGTGGAAGGAGAAGAGAGCAGTGAGAAGAGCGTGGCGTGTAAAAGCGCGTGTGAAGCTTTTGGAGATCCGTTTTATTGTTGCAGTGGCGCTTATGCAACACCGCAGACATGTAAACCAAGTGCATACGCGCAGTACTTCAAGAACGCGTGCCCACGCGCCTATAGCTATGCTTATGATGATGGAACTAGCACCTTCACTTGTTCTTCCGCGGATTACTTCATTACTTTCTGCTCTACACCTTCCAAAAGGTAATGTAGTTAAATATTTGAATTAATATAATTTTAGCATAATAAAGAAATATAAAAAAATGTATATTTGAGTGCAGTAAGTTGATAAAGTCAGGAGGGAATGGAAAATTCCCATTTGGAGTGGACATATGGGCAGGTGACGGGAACGGGCATGGCGATGAGTCAACAGGCAAGGTGATGATCACATTAGTAATTGGCGCTGTTCTAACGACAATCTTGTGACCAACAACAAACCATTTCATGTATATTATTCACTACAATTTACTGTAAAGAAAAGAACAAAAAGTAATGTATTTTAGAATTTTAGATATCATTTGTAGAAATGTGGTTCATAAATAATATAAATCTGTTCAAGTTTTTTTTTAATCCTTTGGTTGCTTATTCTTCTCTAAAGCAAAAGTTTAGAAGGATAAATTTTATTACTTTTAAGCATTGTGGACAAATTTGTTGAAAACACAATGAGTTTTTTTTAATAAAATTTTATTTATACATATGATATATTCAACCGAGCATGCAGTAAAATCTTTATGATATAAGAGGGAGAATAATATGAAAGGTTACTTTAAAGAAGAACAACACTATCCTGATTATTATTATTTTATTTTTCATTTATGAGGTAATATATGAAAAAACAAATAGAGGCAACTTTTTCCATACCCTCTATTTTTGCTTTTTCACCTTTTCATTTCCTTTGACTCTACTTTTCACCTTGTCTCTTGTTCCATTATTTATTACTATATTAAAAAAAATAAAATAAAATAAGTATTTTGTAATAGAAATCACGATCATACTGTACTTCTTGTCATCGTCCCCATCCTCATAAACATCATCATAGTTTCCTTTTCCAAGAGTAAACTTAAAAAATAATTAAACCAATGACATTAGCTAGGTTAATTAATAATTAACTATCCACACAAAAAAAATGACATTAAGTTAACAATTTAAGTTATTTTATAAAAGCTATTGTTCTACTTTTGCTATCAAATTAAACAAGCTGATCTGCTGCTGATGCAAAACTTTATTAAAGAATGAAGAGTGCATGGAAAACCAGAAGAAAAGGGATATATATAGCAAAGATGACGATAAAATAAAGTTGAAAAAGAAGGAAAGAAATCTTATCCACATCACTACTTTACACGACACGACATGTAAGAGAATCAATGAAGTGGACCAAGGTGTCGATACTGTCAGTCATGATTTATATTCAACTACAAAAAAGCAAATGAGAGTCTTCTTATATTAAATTCCTTTATAAGCTTTAAGAGGTTATCATGTTGATTCCACTATTGTTACTTTTGTTTTCTTCAAAATTTATCTATATGTAAAATGTATAACTTTTCTACATATGCATTCAAATATATTCTACAAGCATATTAACACATCATATATATATATATATATATATATATATATATATATATATATATATATATATATATATATATATATATATATATATATATATATATATATATATATATATATATATATATATATATATATATATATATATATATATATATATATATATATATATATATATATATATAGTTATTGAATGAATATCATTTATTTGTTAATGTTGCACAAGGAAAAAACTCATTTATTTAAGGTAAGATAATCACTTTAAAGGGAGTTAGAAGCAAGAAAAGATTGATAAGATTGATCTAAGGGTCCCATTCCTCAATGATAGTCACGAGCAAATCGGAGAAAATCAATTTGGTTAAAGTTAATCTGGATATTCAGGAAGGGAAGAGCTAACGCATCAAGCTTGTAATGTAAGAATGAGAGACTATATAATAAAATGATGAGTTCATTCTTGAGGTGTGAATGATATGATGAATCTCTTCTCTCTCTAAAATTTCCTTCTTATTTGTATGTTTTATGTGAGAACATTCTCATATGTTATTTTGTTGGAAATTTATATCAATATTCTTTTTTAGTTTTATTACTGTGAGATGTTGGATCGAACTCTAATATGGTCGAATGGTAGCTTCTGGTTTGACAGGAATTAAGCATGAGGTCGAAATATATTCGCATGCTGCTGTCGGAGTAATGCGTGTTGTAGTCGAAATTTGTTCTAACATGCATTAGTCAATATTGCTAGGGTTGTTAGCATGTTGAATTGGGCCTTGCTTGTAAATCCAATTTCTTAAGTTAGCTTGTACCCTAAGTTAGCTTGTAATGAGTAATTGTTAAAAAGCTCATTAGGTTAGTGTGTTATTTTATTATAAATAGGATGTTAGTTTCTCAATCTTGGCATAAGGAAAAATAGGAAGATAAAATCCTAATTTCAAGAGAGAGAGGGGGGTTATTTTGTTATTCTTGTATACTTGTAATCTTGTTCTAAGAGTAAGGAAAGAATAGCAGTTTATAACCAGTCCTTGTTGTTCCTTGTTGTTTTACCTTGTTATCTTTGTTAACCCTAACCCTTGTGTGTTTCTTGATCATAAAGAAATTATTTATATATTATTTCAAGACATCCGATTCACAATAAATTGGTGCGGTGAGCGTGAAAAAGATTCCTTCAACAAAGTATGAGATTGAAAAGTTCATCGGAGTGAATGACTTTGGTCTGTGGCACTTGAAGATGAAAGCCCTACTGGTTCAGCAGGGTTGTTTGGAAGCGTTGAAGGGAGAGACAGTCATGGACGATGCGTTAACGACAAAAGAAAAGAAGGGCATGATTGAGAAAGCCCACAACGCAATATTGTTGAGCCTTGGTGATAAGGTTCTTCGACAAGTATCAAAGGAGACTACAACATTAGGATTATAGGTGAAATTTGAAAGTTTGTACATGAACAAATCTATGATGAATCAACTCTACCTGAAGCAAGCTTTGTATTCATTCAAGATGAGTGAAGACAAAGTGTTGGCTGAACAATTGGATATGTTCAACAAGCTGATTCTTGATCTTGAAAATATTGATGTGAAGATCGATGATGAAGATCAAACATTGTTGCTGTTGTGTGCTTTGCCTAGAACACATGCTCACTTTAAAGAATCTCTCTTGTATGGAAGGGAGTCTCTGATCTTTGAAGAAGTTCAATCAGCCTTGTATTCTAAGGATTTGAACGAACAAAAGGAGCATAAACCTTCGATGGTGGACGAAGGTTTTGCCGTTAAGGGAAAATTCTTGCGAAAGAATGGTAAGTTCGACAAGAAGAAAGGTAAGAGTCAACAGAAAACTTATAGTGGCGAACCATCTGGTATTCGATGTTATCACTGTAAGAAGGAGGTTCACACAAGAAAGGTGTGCCCTGAACGCCTGAAAGATCATGAAGGTAATGGCAATGCAACCATTGTTCAAGATGACTTTGACTCATTTGATGTTCTTGTGGTTTCAAGTGGCGACTTGAGAAAAAAGTGGATTATGGATTCAGGTTGCACTTGGCACATGACTCCAAACCGAGAATTTTTCGAGGAGCTATATGATCAAGATGGTGGATTTTTGCTGCTGGGAAACAACAAATCTTTGCAAAATTACAAGTATTGGATATGTGAGATTCAAGCTCCATGATGAGTCAATAAGGTTATTGACTGAAGTCAGGTATGTACTTGACTTGAAGAGAAATTTGATTTCTCTTGGTGAATTCGACAGAAAGGGATATGTTTTTCAAGGAGAGAAAAGTATCCTAAGAGTCATGAAGGGGTCGAAGGAAGTCTTGAGAGACGTGAAGAAACAAGGCTTGTATACCCTTGAGGTTGAGGTTGTAAGTGGTTCTACAAATGTTTCATCCACGAAACCTGTGTCGAAGACAGAATTATGGCACATGAGATTTGGCCATGTCAGCGAAAGAGGTCTGGTCGAATTGCGTACCCTAGATGAAGTCGAAGAAGACGCATAAGATGTTGTTGAAGATGAGGAGACTAATAATGACTACCTTCTAGCAAGAGACAGGTCGAGAAGAGTCATCAAGCCACCTCAGAGACTTGGGTATGCAGATCTTATAGCTTATGCCTTAATCTCTGCAAGTGAGGTTCTAGACGAAGAATCTAGACACTATAAAGAAGTTATGAGGAGTCGAAAGAAGACTGAATGGATGAAGGCCATGAATGATGAGATGAAATATCTTCATGATAACAATACCTGAGAACTGATCAAGAAACCTTCTAGAGCCAGAAAATTTATTTCTGGATATGTGTTCACTATGTTTGGGACAACAATCAGTTGGAAAGTAACACTTCAGCAGGCCGTTGCCTTATCAACCACTGAAGTGGAATATATTGCCCTAACTGAAGTTGTGAAGGAAGCATTGTGGCTTGAAGGTTTTGTAAAGGAGCTAAAACTTCAAGGTCGAGTTATCACTGTTAAATGTGATAGTCAAAATTCAATACACCTGTCGAAGAATTCAGCCTATCATGAGCGAACCAAGCACATTGATGTGAGGCTGCAATTCGTCAGAGGGGGTAATCGAGCATGGAGAAGTCCAAGTGCTAAAGGTTTCGACATATCATAATGCTATTGATATGATCACCAAGACGTCGCTTAATTATAAGTTTTTCCACTGTATGTAGTTGATAAAGCTGCATGAAGAAAGCTAATTTCTTGATGTTATAGAGTTAGATCCAAGGTGGAGATTTGTGAGATGTTGGATCGAACTCTAGTATGGTCTAAGGGTAGCTTCTGGTTCGACAGGAATTAAGCATGAGGTCGAAGTATGTTCGCATGCTGCTGTCGGATTAATGCATGTTATAGTCGAAGCTTTTTCTAACATGCATTAGTCAATATTGCTAGGGTTGTTAGCATGTTGAATTGGGTCTTGCTTGTAAGCCCAATTTCTTAAGTTAGCTTGTACCATAAGTTAGCTTGTAATGGGTAATTGTTAAAAAGCCCATTAGGTTATTGTACTATTTTTCTTATAAATAGGATTCCAGTTTCTCAATCTTGGCATAAGGAAAAATAGGAAGATAAAATCCTAATTTTCAAGAGATAAAGGTTATTTTGTTATTCTTTTATACTTGTAATCTTGTTCTAAGAGTAAGGAAAGAATAGAAGTTTATAACCAATCCTTGTTGTTCCTTGTTGTTTTACCTTGTTATCTTTGTTAACCCTAATCCTTGTGTGTTTCTCGATCATAAAGAAACCGTTTATATTTTGTTTCAAGACATCTGATTCACAACAATTACTAAGAGTGAGTATTATTTGATTTGATTAATAACACAATGAATCTCTATTTTCATTTATTTGAGTCATAACAATGGGTGCTCCCATTAATCCC